GCAACGTAGACTTCGAAAGTAGCACTGTAGTGACTGGACCGGGATACTTGCTCGGTCGAAATCACCAAAAGTTCCATAATTGAGCAACTACACAGCCCCTACCAGCAGAGCATACGGCTCCGATGCAGAGACATTCATCTGCTGTAGCCTCCATTCTGCCTTAGGCCACGAGACCGAGACCGTGAGAATTTCCGCCCACGAAGCTCTCGCCAAGTTCGACGCCGGAGTCGATCACGACTTCATCAGTCCATAGTCCATCCTGCGCACATAACTGGGCCATCCGACAAGAATGCGACCAGGGAAAGCTTATCTCTTTGATTCAAGACTCCTCTGTGCGCATCATTCTCGCGCAGGATACCCGAGTATTTCAGAACACAGAGCACGCACGACAATACACTTATTTAGCTGCCAGTAAGCACTCCTCGTGTTATCTCAATCACCCAGTAATTTGCTGACATCCTTCCTCTCACGCTGTTAGGATACCCCCACCTCTTATAAAATGACTCCTTGTTCGATCCACACTCGCAAGGGATTACAAACACAACAAGCCTTCAGCCCTCCCCGAGGAATGTGAAAGACGAACACTAAACATTCCTTGATGAAGCACACCGGCCTTCCACATGAGCTTCTCCCAGCCTTCAACGGTTCAACTGGATGATTCCACGGAGTTATTTCTGCCCTAATTGCAACAGAGAAAAGTCAGTCAATGTCGAAGCGGTCCTTGGCACGGCCTTGGCACATTCCTGTTGCGCCAATCATTGTCAAATCTTCCTCACACGAGCCGATGTCACTCAGACTAGAGACCGCGCCACGGGCCAGTATGAGACGGGGCGTAAATGCATATGCGGGTTATGCACCTCCCTAGAGAGACGATGCGAGGGCTAAAATGTCCTGGCGTCGCTCAAGGGGCGATTGACCGATCTTGATTCTCCAAAAGACGAGAGGGGCCGAACCGGCGATTGCAGCATTTGAGGACGCCACAAGGTTGACAGGAAGAATCATTTCAGCTTGCACCCAATCTGATATTGTGTAAGCGGTAAGCGGTCTCAACATCTATTTCAGGAGATTTCCACCCTGTAGTGCGACCACACATTTCCGTTCAGGCCGTCGGATTCGCCAGGCTTCGGGGGAAAACAGGTCTGTACCCACGAACGGGATTCTCATACCCTGCAGGTCAGTATGGTGGGGGGAGAATCCGACCGATGGGTTGCACAAGACGGTGAGACTAATTAATTGGCAGGAGATGGGTGCAAGTTCGTGCGACGCTTAACATCGGATTTCACTATCCATCGAGGGCACATAGAGCCCTTGCTGCTCGGTTCGCCCTGATGCCGCAACATCGCTCACCAGCACGACCATTGTTTTAAGAAGGCACACCAGGATGCCTGCGTTGCTTATAGCAATACTCCTGCTCGCTGTATCGCTTGCACGAGGAGCATCCAACGTGACGGGAATTGATCCTGTGGACAATTACTGTTCAAGGCTGTATCACCAGTCAACAGTGAAGAATAAGACTCTGTACATCGACGGAGGATTAGAAGTCTTCGTGGCACAAAACAACAACGGAACGCTAGAAGGCGCTCGAGTGCTTGGATATAGTATGTTCTTCTGGTGCAAGTTCTCGAGACCCACGTCGGAAGTACTGACCCTGCCTAGACACCGACTTGATCGAGGTTGACCTGACGTCCTCTTGGGACTGGAAGCAGAATATCTCGATCTCGGCTGTCTCGGAGAAACCGAATCCCAGAACTGGTGCAGATCCGCCCGTGGTTGTTCGCGGGGCACTGTATGCGGGAGGGCGATCGGACTCGAGCATTTACCAATATGGCGGAACTGTCTCATATGCGAACACGAGTTTTCCTGGTTTTCAAAAACCAACTTCATCGCAGTATGCGCTTTGGTCGTACAACACCAGCAATGGCTCTTGGGATCAATTTGACGTCACACTGGGCGCCGAGTACCGGCCTGCAGGAGGAGCATATGCCGAGGCTACAGACCAGGAATTGGCATTCTATCTCAACGGATACATCAACAACGGAACATCGAATGACCTTGAGAACTCGGACGACCTTCTCCGCTACCTGGATGGATTGATCGTCATCGATACCCGCACGCAGATGGCGACAAACATATCCACGAGCTCACTGGTAAACTTTCCACGAGTCAAGGGTGGCATGGTCTACATCCCTGGCATAGGACCCAAAGGCATATTGGTCGCAGTGGGCGGTGTCACCAAGCCAGCGAATGACGGTAGCGCGTCCAATGAGGGAACCTATGTAGGTTCAGACGCATTGTTCGGTCTGTGATTTGTCACTGATCAGCTCTGTCAATAGGTGCCATTCGACGAGATCGATATCTTCGACATCTCGTCCGTTTTCGAGGGCGACGATAACGGCATCTGGTATGCACAGAAGGCGTCAGGGGATATACCGGACGGACGGACGGACTTTTGCTTGGTCGCTGTCTCCGCAAAGGATAATTCTAGCCACAATATATACATGTACGGAGGCAGGGGCGCAAACGCGTTATACGACGAGATATACGTGCTTTCTATCCCGTCCTTCACATGGACGAAAATCTCCGAGGGAAAGTCGCCACGTTACGGGCACACCTGTCATCTGGTAGGCAACCGACAGATGCTGACAGTGGGGGGAGCGTTGTCTGACGACCTCTCTACCTGCGACTGGGAATACAGAGGCGTTGCCATCTACGACATGTCGACATTGACATGGGGCAGCGTATATAATGCGTCTGCTTCAGATTACGCGGTCCCTGCAAAAATCAACCAAGTGATCGGTGGAGGGTGAGTCTGCTACAACAACGAAGCTCCATAGGAAACTGACCCATTCCCCATAGGCCCAATGGGAATGCAACCAAGAAGACACCCTTGGATGGGTTCAGTACACCCGAACTCGCCAGCTTCTTCTACCCGCCCGCGATCAACGACAGCGCAAGTGCTCCCCAGTCAAAGCCGACCAAGCTCAGTAAAGGTGCCATCGCTGGCATTGCCATCGGCTCTGTGGCAGGTGCAGCCATCCTCTCCGCAGCGCTACTCTACTTCCGTCAGCGGCAACAAGCAGCAGCCGAAGCCCGGCGAGCTGCCGAAGCCGAAGAGGCAGAGAAGGACATATTCATGGAAACAGCCTGGAGGAACAACGGCGACCGAGTCGAGCTCGGAAGCTCGACGAACAGACAGACCAGGGTGTCAGCACATGAGATAGATGGGAGTCATGTACGCGAGATACCGGGTAGTTGATGGTCTCACTGTGCGCCTTACATCTGGAAGCTTTCATGACAATCTTACAAGCATAAAATTAACTAAACATCAATACAACCAAGTGAATACCAACAATACATCAATCCAAACATTCCAACTCACCAGCCACACAAAGTGGAGAACAGTTCAGCTACCAGAGGTACCCCAAAGTTAGAATGTGGATCTCAGCGGATAGACTATGTACCATGGCGTCATGATCTACCCTGCAGGGAGTACATCGGACCTCTCACCTACACTGTAACTTGTAAGGAACTTGTCAGTAGGTAGGGATAATCTTAATTATTACTTTTTACTATCAGCCGACACAAATCGAGTAGGTGGTTACTTCTCAACAAATCAAACATTACTGTCATTGGTACTTTGGGCATCGATGTCGAATTCAATCTGCCGCTCTCGTAGGATAGCAAAAAATACAGTATCTCGTACACAGATATAATCATTTATACTCCACATTCTGCCTAACACGTAAGGTAAGTACTAGATAGGAGGATCCCTGCTATCCCCGCAAGCCCAATCCACAGTTCAGTGCAGTTCAGTTCGCAATCAGCATTCCCCACTGCCATAATCCCACCAGTGGATGCGCCATCCACCTATAACAAGCAGGAGATAATCTGCACGTAAGTCTAAAGAACTCTGTTACACCCTTGAAACTGGTAGACGTGACGATCAAGACGGATTAGGCGAATCGGTTTAATGTTGAAAGAGGGGTCGAATGGCTAGGTAATCCTGATTATGAAGTAAACGGACCATCTTTGAATATCTTAACTGTGTAAGGAGCCGAGTACGAGTACATAGAGCTATTGACATTGCGATCGTCGCTGCCACTGACGCCTTGAGGTTTCAGACTGCAATATCATAATAGCTTACTGCACAGCAGTCTCAATCATAGATCAATGCATAAGAATATCGACAGTCTATCATTTGTCACTTTACTGCTAGTGTACAGGTTCCCATAGTATACAATCCCATCTTCGTCCTTTGTGCACCAAGGCAATGTCAATCAAACGAAAACAGAAAACATGCAGACATCATAAGCGTGACACTCATACATAAATGCGATATAGTACACATGAAACGCGCATGAAATCATCGCGCATGCTGAAAGAAACACAAGCCCGAGTCATATCAATGCTGATCGAATCAAGCGAAAATCTCAAATCGCGAGAAATAAACCCAACCAACCAGAATGTCCATTCATGCAACCCATTTTCACACCCAAAAGTAAAAAAAACCACGCAATGCATTAAACAGTTGAATCCATGCTTGCTGAAACAGAACATTCGGAAGGAAAAAGAAATAAAAAAAAAAGGAAAAATAGGAAAATGATAATCGTAAAGCATGGGAAGACGTAACCACCGAATCATCATTGTGTATGTTGTGTATTGTACGTCAATTCAGAAGAGGGTGCCATGATGTCATTCTAGCACATTCGAAGCGCCTTAGGCATCTTTATCCCGAAACGGAAGTTGTCACCGTCGATCGGGAATCATCGGTGGGTCCACACCAATGAGGATAAGCCTCTGACATCATAGGCTTGAACCCCGTCATCCTGAGTCACGGCGACGTCGATGCAGAAGCGGAAAGGGGGGGAATCATCCTATTCGTCGCGCCGATGAAGCTCTGACATGATTTTGTGACAATCATCGGATGATAGAAACTTCCAGACATGAAGCATTTGGTGTGTGCATCAGCGCACATACGCCCAAAACGCTCCGCTAGCGTTTCATTCACGGCCCCTGCGCCGCTGCTTACCGGGCCAATCGACTTCAGGATGGACCACCCGCATGTGCCGGGTCAGCGCATCATTGCGCGAGAAGGTCTTCTCCTCCGTGCACAGATGACATCGGACCTTCTGCTTACGGGCGTTGTGGATCGTGTCCTCGTGCCGCGTAAGATCATACGGTCGCGAGAAGACCGAATTGCAGGGTTTCCCAGTAGAAGGGTTGATCCGCTCACATTTGTGGGGGCCAGCCTGAGAGTTCCGTGCCGAGTGATCGCGGCTAACGAGATGACCGCCAGGGGTAGTCTGGCGATGAGCCTCTCGCTTGTGCTTCTGGAGCTTAGCCGGCGTCTCAAACCGTAGAGTGCAGCCGTGATAGGTGCAGGTGTAGGTGCCACCATCTGTAGATGTATTGTCTGGCCGAGTAATCTCTTGTTTAAGCGGTATAATGTTCATGTTGGATTGAGGCGAAGTCATATCATTTTGAATGACCTCGCTCCCAGTAGAGTCAAGGTGCGGAAGAGAGGCAGGAAACTCGGGTGTATGGTGAAGCAAACTGTTTTGCTGCTGCTGGTGCTGCGGCTGGCGGTGGTTCTGCTGTTGCTGGACGAATGGATACTGTTGTGAGAGAGAGCTGGTCTGTGTGTTGAACTGGCTGGGGAACGAATCCATCGATGGAAAGTTTTGTGCCTGTCGTAATGAAGAGCTGCTCTCACGTCGCAAGCCCAAAGCATCACTGAGATTGAAATCAGGTTGACTCGAAGGGAACAATGGCGGCATGCTAGCATCTTCAGTCTCATTGAAATCAAGAACCGCATCCTTGGGAGACATGGTCTTGGGCTCTGTCTGCGACTGTCCCAAATTCATGGCACTTTGAGGCATAGGCACGCTGGTGGCCAGTTGAGCAACATTGCTGAACTCGGCCGCCATAGGTGAATTCTGTCGGAAGGGCGACCGGTCACGGTTCAGATTGACCGCGGGAGACTGAGACCGTGCAGAGAGGTGACCCTGATTGGCAGCTTGCAGACGATCTGCAAAGACGCTGCGGTAATGCTGGTTGGTGGACGAGGGTTGCTTTGGGACCTGTGGTGCTGGCATGATGGCAGGGTTGTATAGCTCATCTTGGTAGATGTCGGAGATTGTGCGATTGAGCTTGGGAATGCCGATGGTCATATTGTTACCATTGTGGTTACCGTAGTCTGAAAGCGCATCGGCACGTAAGTATTCATCCATCCACCGGTCTACATCGGGATATCGGTTCTCACCATTAGCCATCGCCTTCGATGCATCGTCGATCTCGTCAAAGCTTGTCTGCGGGGTCACCGGCGAGTTGTGACTCACGGTAGAAACGGAGGGAGCCAGTGAGTAGTCACTTGATTGGTTTTGTGATTGTTGCTGCTGGTTGTTTTGCTGCTGCTGCTCCATCACAGCCCGTCTCATAGCCGCTTCTGCCTCGGCCTGACTAGCATCATGTGCGGATGGATCGTAGTTCTGGAAAGGCGTGGCGAGGAAAGAGTTCTGCACAGGAGTCTGGACAGGAGTAGGCAGAGGCTTTGCCAGGCTACCGTTGTTGGACCGTTGCACACTTCCTGCTGGTGCAGATTTGCTGGAGGCAGGAGAGGTCTGTAGCTGCGAGTCTTGATATGAGGTCCGGGAAAGACCGTTTGAAATGCGAGCTGGACTCAAGAGCTGCAGGTTGCCTTCCCAACCGTGGTTATTTGCGACAGTATGTTGCGCCAACATGGGGTTGCTGTTATGGTGGTTGCTGTAGAGATATTGCGGTTGGTATTGTGGCAGGTATGGGTTGGAAGTTTGAGGTGAAGTCGAATGCTGAATATGAATCGACGGGTTGTACGATGAAGCAGGTGTCATCGAAGGAGCCTCGAAGGAACTGCCGTCTACGACGGCAGGCGAGTATTGCGCGACTGCCGTCGCGGGAAGGTGGGAAAAGGTAGAGGCGGGAGAGGAGGAAGGTGACGAGGGAGCGGAAGAGGGCGGAGAGACAAAGTCGAAAGTAGGTTGATACTGAAAGGGAGACTGCAGTCGAGGCTGTTCTTGGTAGAAACACTGCAGTGAAGGGTCTTGTTGAGAGAAGTCTGGGATGAACTGATCGTCTTGTATGCAAACGGGGTCCTGCTGGTGGGCAAAACGTGCAGAAGTTGGTTCAGTGATGAGACCCTTACGTACAGAAGGGTACATAAGCATAATGGTCTCTTGGAAAATTTGGGACGATAGACTTGGATTATGGACACCGAGTGGAGGGAATTTGCGAAAAGGATTTGCCACTGGGGGCAGCAGAGTTTAAATAATAGGTTGGCACCAACGGCCCCAAGAAGTCCCGACGGGCTCAGATCCGATTAACTCGTTCGTGGTGCGACCGAGAGAACGGTTCGAGCGGAAGTTTAGTTGACGACGAGACGTGGTACGGAGTCGTCGAGGCAGATGTGATATCGAAGAGTCTGGAAGCGGCGGGCAGACCAGAGTCTCAACTGGAGGGTTCAAGATGTGAGGACTGGAAGTTTGTGCGAGCTACTTGATTAGTTATCTGAATAAAGTTTGAACCGAAGGTTATTATAATGTGATGACAATTGCTTGTGTGTTGTATGGTGAAAAGAGACAAGTATGAAAGTGTAGTATACTAGGGTATAGGGATCACTTACTAGGAGAGGAGGAGGTAGGAGATGGGAACCCCAGACAGGAGTTAATAAACGATTGATAACAAGGGATATGATGTGAGAATGACTCGAGAGGTCAAAGACCAGATTCCTAAGGTACAAGATATCTGGTTGTCGAAGCAGGATCAATGTATGGACAGGAGGGGACAAGGGACATTTATGATGTTAATTTATGATGCAATAATCGGCTATTGTCGTCGTACAATACAGAGCGAACTAACTAACTTAGCGTCAGAGTCAGTTTCTGTCATGGTTTACGGGCTTGCCCGAAGCAGTTATGACAACGGACAATCCTTGACTCAGGATTACAAATAATACCCTGGGAAAAATACCATAATTACGAATACGTACTATCTGAAGGTTTGATTGATCGATCTGTTTTGTCTGGGGGTTTAGCGCCATCCAGCTGGCCCCACGCCCCACCGAGCCATTAGCCGGACACTCAAAAAAAGATGAACCCACCATTATGGAGTCGGGTATCTTCCAAGCCACAATTCCTGCAGCTAAAGATGGATGCGTTGTCCTCGACCAGGTACCACCGAGTACGGCCTACGGAGCGCAGACAGGTCATTTAGCACTGGCATTTTACCATCTATCCCCTTGCAGTGACTGAGCCACACTCCCTGTCCGGAATAAGTTTGGAGTGCAGTTATGCCTGAACGGCCAATTAGTCGAACAACCCCAAGATATGTGCCGATTCAACAGGTATCTACGGAGTAGTTCTTGATGTTTCTTTGTCCTTCTTTTTACTCGGAGTATAGATTATTCAAAAACGAAAATAATTCCTATGGATTTGTCATTATTCTATGACTCTCATACCGAGGACTCTCCGAGGTCCAAATAATTATGAGCATCAATGACTCAGATAGTCGCCGGGCTATGCCAGCACTCTATGACTCCCATGTAGACCACTAGCGCTCTGCAATATTATAAAATAATGTCTAAGCTATTAGTAAAACCGCACATAGTACAGTTGGATGTGACCGACGATCCTCCCATTTCTGATCCTAAGGCTACCAATGACAAGCTGCCGTGGCTAAGCCATGCGTTCCTGTCCACGCAGTTGTTGAAGATCCCGATCTCGTGTTGGTTTCAACGCAGGACCCTGACAATATGCACAAACGGTAGGGCCGTGTAAACCGACTAATCAGGACCGTTTGTCCTAGGAAGGGGAAAAGGAAAAGTGCTCAAGTAAGGCATGCTTGATTTGTTGGTAACTCCGCGGCCTGATGAGCCAACCAACCATGCGCCACATTTTGCGCCACAGACATGTGGCTAGTGTCCAAAGGTATGAATGTACATTATCCATGATTATTAATGTGGATGCTTACGGAGTTCGCCGAGCTACAGACCACTCGACCGAGAGAATCGTCTGGCAGTACTGCGTACTATCTACTGCATTTCATGTCGATTACAGCAATTGACAGCACATGATTAGAAACAATAAAATAATATTCTAGCTGGACTGTGCAAGTGTGCAGAAACAGGCGATGGAGAAGCGGAAAAGACTCGGAGATACCTACTCAACTGTCAGCAGCTCCACCATGCCGGCTCTCGGCATCCCCTACTGGACGGCGGACTTTCCGGGGACTCTATCTACGAGGAACACAGAACTACTCGGCCGGCGAAGTTCGCAGCACATGAGCATTTCAAGTGCATTCATCGTTTGTAGAAAGATGACCTTCCAAGCTAATGCATTGTAGCTTGCGAGGCTCAGTACTTGAATATGTCAGCTGATTACTTATCTCCCATGGTACTACTGACTATTGAGCACTAGTTACTTTGTGTGGGAGGTCATCTGACCTAGATCATGATCTTGGTTCAATATCACCACTAGGCATCAAACGATGTAAGAGTCATACCATGAAGAAGAGAGCCTAACCATAGTTTTCTGTTAATTCGTTACTATTAATTAATTCACAATAGGTGAATAACTCCCTGGTTTATCACATGCAAATCCCCAGTCGATTTCGTTGAGATATCAGAGACCTGTTGGCGAATATCGGCAGATCAGGATGCGAGTGAGTACCTCGCCTACGGAAGAGGGTAGCGGCCTATAGTAACAGAATGCCTAGTCTCGCCAATTTGCTACGCAAAGACCAAGTGTCCGGTATGCAATGTTAGCCAACGGTAATGCTCCAGTGACAGACACAGAGACACATGGCTCCCCACCCGTAGCTTGAATGACAGCTGAAACCGGTGGCAACGTCAACTGAAGTACATAAAATCAGAATCTGGCTGCCTGTGTCTCACTCTACTCGACGCGCATGCCCATGACCAACTGAATTTGCGTACGCGGCTTATCTTCTCTTCAGCCGGCGACTGGCCGCGCATGACTGGCACGAGTGCTGTTGTTGACTCGTCAGATAACGCAGGCTGGACAGTGGATGCTCTTGTCCTCATGCCCTGTAACCATTCGGAATCGACACCCAAGGGTCAAGCTCGAGTCTAGTGTCTCGGATCTTGTCACCTTCAGTCTTGCAACTGCGCCTTGATCGTTGACTCGTTCGGCCTTCGGCCAGACTGGACCCCGGCGGGTCTTGATCTCTCGCAGTGGGTATCTGCTTTCATTGTATGCCTAGGCTTCCCTGATTATGAACCTACGATTGGTGATTGGCAAGTTGAGACTCTCAGCTGGATATCTCTGACTTATCTGCAATGATTATCTCTCTAGCTGGAGGATCTAGCTGGAGGACGAATCCGGGGTACGCATGTGATTTTCTGAGTCATTTTAAACATCTCCACGACAGTCTAGGGTGGGTATAGCAGATGTTCAACTGCAATACATCTCACCTTAGTTGATGACACCGCGATATCACCGAGAATATACCTATTACTCACCCATCTATCCGAGCTGAAGTGAAAAGGTTACACTGGTGGGTGCCAACTAACAAGGATTCGAATCGATTTAGCCGACAGTCAGCACCTTAAACCACATGGAATTTTTCCCTCGAACCTCAGACAGCTCAGCAATGTGCATATGCAGCGAAGGAAAAAGTTTTCCCACCCCTCTGTTGCTGCAGGTTTCTTTGCAGATGGGAGGGCTTGCACACATGATTCGCTGACATGCAGCCGTCCGAGCACAGCCACATCCGTCGGTGGTGAGGGATCTTCAATTTTGGTGGGGCTGTTGGGACCCATCAGCAAGGGAGCTGGTGTTGCTGTTGGTAAAAAACAACGGTAATACGAATATGGTAATAAAACTGGAGGAGACCTGTGTATTGTGCATGACAATACAGCCTCCACACTGCACACATGGCTACATTATTACTCCGTACATCCCTCCATTCCACTCTTGGGCCGGAAAATCCTAGCCGGAGGATTCGAACCGGTCCCCCCGTAGCGCCAAAGAATTTTTCCATCGGCCTTCTAGAAGCCCCGTCTAAATTTGGGCATGCATGGGTAGCGTCAATGCGTCCATTCCTGTTGGACTACATCCTTCTGAAAAACTTTTTCTTGCAGTTCAACTTGCGACTTGCACGAGTTAGATTTGGACTAGAGATGCCAAGGTGAAAAATTTTCTGGCATGGTTGCTCGTCTAGATCGACGTTAGTGATAAGGTGGTTGCACTTGTGCTCTGTATACGGGAATGCATTGGTCTGGATGACTGAGTACGGAGTATACCTCGGTGATATCGGCCGGTGAAAAATTTTCATGCTATCATTAGGAATAGGATAAAGCATATTATTAATAATGGTGTCTTATACCACGAATGTTTTCGATAAATATTCGAGCTAGAATGGCCGATTGTTGAATCCGAGTCAGTATCACCGTACTCCATACTGGTAGATAGACTATTAATACTACTATCACTATCTATCAAGATAAACGATAAGTAACCAACTAACCAGTGAAAACTACTCTGAACAAGCACACAGGCTCCGTTGGGGCCCTCGGCCCGGTAGATCCTTCAGCACTGTCGGTAAGACGGCACCCGTGGTTCGCGCCCCGAAGAATAAGCCAGCATCTTCGTTCTCATCTCACCTTGCTTGATTGCTAATCTGAATCTGAATCTGACTCCCGTCCGAATACGAAATGTCGCGACTTTCCGGATCGAGCCTAATACTTTTTTCTCAAGGAGAATCTCGGACTCGATTTCTTTGCGTCAGGACCACGGAGATCCGAGCGCAGCGGAATAGATAGCAATAACAATAGCAATAGCAATAGCAATTAGCAATTAGCAATTTCTGCTCTGTACTAGTCTACTAGGATTTCGAATCATGATATCCAGATCATGATATCGATACCTATTCCTCTACCTCCAGTTACCAACATCAAACGGAAACAAGACCGCGTGACATGTACATGGCCGGTCACATGCGCTCTTAACTCCACCTCTCAGTCATTATAGCGACTCAAGCATCTAGATCACACCATTTTCTTTGACCAGAATCAAATGACCTTGTCTACCAGTCTATTGAGTAAAAGAATCAAAACTTATGCGATACGCATATCCCTACTGCCTAAACGAAAGTTCAAATGGTCTGGACCCTGTCATCCACCCGTCTGGGCCGATCGAATCTCGACCCG